TCGTGCTCGCCCCTCCGCTCCTTGCGCTAAGTTTCGGCTCCCAACCCTGCCCCCCCTGGGCTTGCATGGGCTCTGGGGGTTTCGCAGCGTGGCTTCGCGGCCCGCCCGCGGGCCGAGGCACGGTCAGGAACCTCTCGGCCTTTTAAGTTTCGGGCCTTGCATGGGGCCCCGCCGCAGCGAACAGATACTTTCGGAGGGTGCCCCCTCCTCTCGAGCCGCTCGCTGTCCTGTGGGTGTGTCTCCTCCCGCTGCTGCGTCGGATTTTCTGTGGGGCCTCTTTTCACTAGGGTTGTCGCTCTACCCCCGCCTGCCCCCAGCACTTTAAAATCAAGATTTTAAAGGCACAGGCACGCTCCGAGATAACATAGGTTCAAGCCTGGCTCTCGAGTGTGGGTGTTGTGTAAATGCGCGTTTTAAAACACACTTTTACACGCCCCCTTTAAACGTTCAGATAGCCGCCTCAATTGTACTTCAGGAGTAGGGCTAGCTCGTTCTCTCTCGTGCTCGCCCCTTCCGCTCCTTGCGCTAAGTTTCGGCTCCCAACCCTGCCCCCCCTGGGCTTGCACGGGCTCTGGGGGTTTCGCAGCGTGGCTTCGCGGCCCGTCCGTGGGCCGAGGCACGGTCAGGAACCTCTCGGCCTTTTAAGTTTCGGGCCTTGCATGGGGCCCCGCCGCAGCGAACAGATACTTTCGGAGGGTGCCCCCTCCTCTCGAGCCGCTCGCTGTCCTGTGGGCGTGTCTCCTCCCGCTGCTGCGTCGGATTTTCTGTGGGGCCTCTTTTCACTAGGGTTGTCGCTCTACCCCCGCCTGCCCCCAGCACTTTAAAATCAAGATTTTAAAGGTGCAGGCACGCTCCGAGTTAACATAGGTTCAAGCCTGGCTCTCGAGTGTGGGCGTTGTGTAAATACGCGTTTTAAAACACACTTTTACACGCCCCCTTTAAACGTTCAGATAGCCGCCTCAATTGTACTTCAGGAGTAGGGCTAGCTCGTTCTCTCTCGTGCTCGCCCCTCCGCTCCTTGCGCTAAGTTTCGGCGCCCAACCCTGCCCCCCCTGGGCTTGCATGGGCTCTGGGGGTTTCGCAGCGTGGCTTCGCGGCCCGTCCGTGGGCCGAGGCACGGTCAGGAACCTCTCGGCCTTTTAAGTTTCGGGCCTTGCACGGGGCCCCGCCGCAGCGAACATATACTTTCGGAGGGTGCCCCCTCCTCTCGAGCCGCTCGCTGTCCTGTGGGTGGGTCTCCTCCCGCTGCTGCGTCGGATTTTCTGTGGGGCCTCTTTTCACTAGGGTTGTCGCTCTACCCCCGCCTGCCCCCAGCACTTTAAAATCAAGATTTTGAAGGTACAGGCACGCTCCGAGTTAACATAGGTTCAAGCCTGGCTCTCGAGTGTGGGTGTTGTGTAAATACGCGTTTTAAAACACACTTTTACACGCCCCCTTTAAACGTTCAGATAGCCGCCTCAATTGTACTTCAGGAGTAGGGCTAGCTCGTTCTCTCTCGTGCTCGCCCCTCCGCTCCTTGCGCTAAGTTTCGGCTCCCAACCCTGCCCCCCCTGGGCTTGCATGGGCTCTGGGGGTTTCGCAGCGTGGCTTCGCGGCCCGTCCGTGGGCCGAGGCACGGTCAGGAACCTCTCGGCCTTTTAAGTTTCGGGCCTCGCATGGGGCCCCGCCGCAGCGAACAGATACTTTCGGAGGGTGCCCCCTCCTCTCGAGCCGCTCGCTGTCCTGTGGGTGTGTCTCCTCCCGCTGCTGCGTCGGATTTTCTGTGGGGCCTCTTTTCATTAGGGTTGTCGCTCTACCCCCGCCTGCCCCCAGCACTTTAAAATCAAGATTTTAAAGGTAAGGCACGCTCCGAGTTAACATAGGTTCAAGCCTGGCTCTCGAGTGTGGGTGTTGTGTAAATACGCGTTTTTAAACACACTTTTACACACCCCCTTTAAACGTTCAGATAGCCGCCTCAACTGTATTTTAGGAGTAGGGCTAGCTCGTTCTCTCTCGTGCTTGCCCCTCCGCTCCTTGCGCAAAGTTTCGGCTCCCAACCCTGCCCCCCCTGGGCTTGCATGGGCTCTGGGGGTTTCGCAGCGAGGCTTCGTGGCCCGTCCGTGGGCCGAGGCACGGTCAGGAACCTCTCGGCCTTTTAAGTTTCGGGCCTCGCATGGGGCCCCGCCGCAGCGAACAGATACTTTCGGAGGGTGCCCCCTCCTCTCGAGCCGCTCGCTGTCCTGTGGGTGTGTCTCCTCCCGCTGCTGCGTCGGATATTCTGTGGGGCCTCTTTTCATTAGGGTTGTCGCTCTACCCCCGCCTGCCCCCAGCACTCTTAAATCAAGATTTAAAGGTATAGGCACGCTCCGAGTTAACATAGATTCAAGCCTGGCTCTCGAGTGTGGGTGCTGTGTAAATACGCGTTTTTAAACACACTTTTACACACCCCCTTTTAAACCTTCAGATAGCCGCCTCAACTGTATTCTAGGAGAAGGGCTACCGCTTTCTCTCTCGTGGCGCCCCTCCGCTCCATTGCCCCGCAAGTTTCGCTCCCAACCACTGCCCCCGTGGTCCCTGGTGTCTGCATGGGCTCTGGGGTTTCGCAGCGTGGCTTCGTGGCCCGTCCGTGGGCCGAGGCGCGGTCAGGAACCTCTCGGCCTTTTAAGTTTCGGGCCTTGCATGGGGCCCCGCCGCAGCGAACATATACTTTCGGAGGGTGCCCCATCCTCTCGAGCCGCTCGCTGTCCTGTGGGTGTGTCTCCTCCCGCTGCTGCGTCGGATATTCTGTGGGGCCTCTTTTCATTAGGGTTGTCGCTCTACCCCCGCCTGCCCCCAGCACCTTAAAATCAAGATTTTACAGGTACAGGCACGCTCCGAGTTAACATAGATTCAAGCCTGGCTCTCGAGTGTGGGTGGTGTGTAACTACGCGTTTTTAAACACACTTTTACACACCCCCTTTAAACGTTCAGATAGCCGCCTCAACTGTATTTTAGGAGTAGGGCTAGCTCGTTCTCTCTCGTGCTTGCCCCTCCGATCCTTGCGCAAAGTTTCGGCTCCCAACCCTGCCCCCCCTGGGCTTGTATGGGCTCTGGGGGTTTCGCAGCGAGGCTGCGTGGCCCGTCCGTGGGCCGAGGCACGGTCAGGAACCTCTCGGCCTTTTAAGTTTCGGGCCGCGCATGGGGCCCCGCCGCAGCGAACAGATACTTTCGGAGGGTGCCCCCTCCTCTCGAGCCGCTCGCTGTCCTGTGGGTGTGTCTCCTCCCGCTGCTGCGTCGGATATTCTGTGGGGCCTCTTTTCATTAGGGTTGTCGCTCTACCCCCGCCTGCCCCCAGCACCTTAAAATCAATATTTTAAAGGTACAGGCACGCTCCGAGTTAACATAGATTCAAGCCTGGCTCTCGAGTGTGGGTGGTGTTTTAAATAAACGCGTTTTTAAACCCACTTTTACACGCCCCCTTTAAACGTTTCAGATAGCCAGCCTCATTGTACTTCAGGATTACGGCTGAGTCGTTTTCTCTCTCCGTCTCGCCCCTCCGCTCCTTGCGCCTAAGTTTTCGCTCCCAACCCTGCCCCCCCTGGGGGTCTTGCATGGGCTCTGTGGTTTTTTCCCCCCCGCAGCGTGGCTCCCGTCGGCCCGACCGTGGGCCGAGGCACGGTCAGGAACCTCTCGGCCTTTTAAGTTTCGGGCCTCACACGGGGCCCCGCCGCTGCGAACATATACTTTCGGAGGGTGCCCCCTCCTCTCGAGCCGCTCGCTGTCCTGTGGGTGTGTCTCCTCCCGCTGCTGCGTCGGATATTATGTGGGGCCTCTTTTCATTAGGGTTGTCGCTCTACCCCCGCCTGCCCCCAGCACTCTTAAATCAAGATTTAATGGTATAGGCACGCTCCGAGTTAACATAGATTCAAGCCTGCTCGCGAGTGTGGTGTGTGTTGTGAAATTACGCTTTTTTAAAAACACACTTTTAACACGCCCCCTTTAAACGTTTCAGATAGCCGCCTCAACTGTACTTCAGGAGTAGGGCTAGCTCGTTCTCTCTCGTGCTCGCCCCTCCGCTCCTTGCGCTAAGTTTCGGCTCCCAACCCTGCCCCCCCTGGGCTTGCATGGGCTCTGGGGGTTTCGCAGCGTGGCTTCGCGGCCCGTCCGTGGGCCGAGGCACGGTCAGGAACCTCTCGGCCTTGTAAGTTTCGGGCCTTGCATGGGGCCCCGCCGCAGCGAACAGATACTTTCGGAGGGTGCCCCCTCCTCTCGAGCCGCTCGCTGTCCTGTGGGTGTGTCTCCTCCCGCTGCTGCGTCGGATTTTCTGTGGGGCCTCTTTTCACTAGGGTTGTCGCTCTACCCCCGCCTGCCCCCAGCACTTTAAAATCAAGATTTTAAAGGTACAGGCACGCTCCGAGTTAACATAGGTTCAAGCCTGGCTCTCGAGTGTGGGTGTTGTGTAAATGCCAGAAAAACCTCGTGACGCACCCAGCGCGCTCGCATCAACTGACAGAAGGAGCCTGCCCAAACCTGCCCGGACGGCGACCACGGGGGCGCCGTGGTCTGCCGTCGTGCGAACTGGGTGGGGAGCGCACGCGTGGAACGACCCGCTGGGCAACGGCAGAACGACGAGCACCGAGGCCCCAGGCTCAAAGAGGAAACGGGGGCGGGAACGGAGGGCCCAAAGAAATCTTTTTTGTTGGGGGGGGATGGGACCAGAGAAGCTGTTTTCTGAACACATCGAGCTCCCGGGAGAAGGACGCGGCGGAAAAGGCAGCGCGGCCACGGCGGGGACGCGGCAGCGGAGGCGCCGGGACGTGGGCACCCAAAGGGGCGCCTTCTGCGCACGAAGTCGTGTTCCTGCTAAGTGGGCTTCTGTTCTGCTACGTGGGCTCCCGATGTGCTTAATACACTTGCCAGCTCCGCTTCCTGCTGCTGGTCCTGTTTTTCCTCCTCGTCCTTCAGATTCCGCCTCCTCGTCCTTCAGATTCCGCCGTGACGGCGAGCTGCGCCGACGGAGCGCCGACGGGCCCGAGCCTCGCCTGGGCCGCCGAGGCCGTGGCTGGACCACCCTCGGCGGCCGGGGCAGGGGGCGCCAGCCAGGGGGGCACGTGCGAGCCCTACCCCTGCCCCACCACGATCTCTGAGGGGGAGGGTGGGGCTCCCTTCGCTCGCGAGCTCCCGAGCGAAGCGAGCCCCACATGCGAGCCCTACCCCTACCGCCCACGATCTCTGAGGGGGAGGGTAAGGTTCCCTTCGCTCGCGAGCTCCCGAAGCGAAGTGGACCCCACCCTCCCCCTGAGAATATCGTGGGGGGTTAGGGGCAGGGCTCGCATGTGGCCCCCCTAGCCAGCACCAGCAGGGGAGGGTGGCGCCACCCGGGGGGGAGGCGGTCCTGGATCTCTGCTGCTGGCGTCAGGTCGGGCAGGTCCTGCTAAAGGCGGAGCCTGGAGGACAAATGAACACAGCAAGACAATAATCAAAAAGACATCTCGTCGGATGACAAAACAAAAACATCTAAACATAAACATAGTAACAAACATGATCGACCCACGAACCCGGGAAGGGATTGAGAACTGCGAGGCATGGGACCGATTCTAAGGACATCAATTGCATATACAATTGGGCGATGCCAGGGGGATATGCCAGGGGGACGCGCCGCGGAACGTCCTAAGGGACGCGCCTGGGGACGTGCCATGGGACATGCCATGGGGACGCACCGCGGGACGTGCCACGGGACGCGCCACGGAACGTGCCAGGGAACGTGCCAGGCGACGCGCCAGGCGACGCGCCAGGACCGCGTCAGGGAACGTGCCACGGAACGTCCCGAAGCCAGGATGCCTCGTGAATCAAATTACACTGCGTCCGCGCTCCCAGGGCCACGATCCACTGTAAATTACGTTGCGTCCGCGCTCCCAGGGCCACGACCCCTTGTAAATTACATTGCGTCCGCTCTCCCTGGGACACGATTCCTAGTAAGCTACGCTGCGTCCGCGCTCCCAAGGCCGCGCTCCCTCGTGAATTACATTGCGTCCGCGCTCCCAGGGCCACGTTCCCCAATAGATTACGCTGCGTCCGCCCCCCCAAGGGCTAGGATCCATCGTAACTTACGCTGCGACCGCGCTCCCAGGGCCACGATTCATTGTAAATTACGCGGCGTCCGCGCTCCCAGGGCCACGATCCAGCGTACATTAAACTAGAACCACGCGCGCGCTTCGCGCGCGCTTAGGTTCTGTCGAGTCACAGACCCAGGAATCGTCGCGAGAAGAAATTGGTGACGCGAAGCGTCTTGGGGGCGTCCTTGGACGTCTGGGGTCTCCTGGGGCCTCTTGAGGGGCCTCCTTGGGGCCTCCTGGCGGCCTCTTGGGGCGGAAGGCTCGAGCTTGCGGTTCGTGGTCCCCCTCTGGGCCCCTCTTGCCCACACAGACACACACAGGCTCGCCTCCCCCCTCGGAGGGGGAGGCGAGTGGAGAGGGGAAGGGAGTAGAGCTGGAGAGGGGAAGGGGCAGGAGAGGCGAGGGAGAAGAGGCGAGGGAGGAGAGGGGAGAGGCGAGGAGGATAATCCAGGCCCCCTGCTGATCAGCGCCCGGGCGCCGCGCGCGAGCTCGGCGCTTGAGCCCCGATCGCGCGCCGCGCGCTTCGCCGTGCGAAGAACTCTTGGGACGCGAAGTCGAAGCCAATCTGGCGCCAATCTGGCGGCCCCAATCTGGCAAAAGTTGGCAATCTGGCGAGGGAGCCAGCGAGGTTACAGACTGGCGAGCAAGTAAAAACCTCGTACCTGGTCACGCCAGAGTGTCCCCTGGAGCCTTGGACTGTCGTGTAGAAGGGCGAGACACTGAAATCTTGGGACGCGAAGTCGAAGCCAATCTGGCGCCAATCTGGCGGCCCCAATCTGTCGAGGAGAAGGGCGAGACACTGGAAACGCAAAGTCGTCTCAAAATCGACCCCGGGACTCCGAACGCTCCAACGTTTCGGGCTGCGCCCAGCCCCTGCGACGAGGGGCCCTAGACCAAAGTGCCCCCAGGACTCCCCGGGAAACTTCGGCG